TTGAGGAGTTTGTGACCAAAAAGCATTGCCCAGGATATGAGAATATATTAAGGGAGAATAAGATTGAAGGAAAAATTTATCTTTCCATATTTTCCTAAGAAAAATAATTTTTTTTTTTCGCATATTTTTTCGACACAGGAGAGGAGACACTTTATTGGTAATTGAAACAGCTGAATGAGCAATTTCTTTTGATCAATCGATAAAACAGAAAGTCAATACTAGCGAATAGCCTAAGAATTTGGTTCGACTTGGCTTTATGTAACTATGAGATAAGAGATAAGATTTCGTTCGGATTTTTAAACCCCGGAGGGTTAGGGCCACCCAGGATAAACCAAGAAAAGTCTGTGCCGTCATCGAGGACTGTCTAACTTATTTTCCATTGGGGTCCTTAATTTTGTCACCAGGATGCGACCCTCCTCACCAGTCGACTAACACCAGGTACCTATTTGCTGCTAGGTGACAGGGACCATTAGGTGTAAGGAAACGTGCGGAATTACCACCCAGCCGGGAATAGAACCCGGGCCCTCCGTTGTGGTGAAGCCGGACTTTAGCACCAGGCCACGGGCCACTGACTAAAATGGGAGTCAAAGTCGGCAAAATCGACGATGTGTAAATATCGCTGACTCGTCAAAATTCGCAAGAGTGAAAATTCGTCAATTTTTCTATCAAATTTCATACTTTTTGCTTTATTACCTTCAGAAAAAGATTCTTACCAATTCATAAGAAAAAAAACAAAATTTGGGGGGTTTGTAAAATTCTTGGTCTTGGGTTGTCACTCTGAGATTTGGGCCTCTGGACCCTCTAAGGATTAAGACTCTACATTTTCATCTCACAGCCACACAAATACTTAATAAAAAATAAGAACCTTCTCAATAAATAATAATAAAATACCCTTCATAAATAATAAGAACTTCAATAAACACGAATGAGCTTCATTAAATATGTAATAAGAGGCTTCAGTAGTAAGTCTGCGAGTGCAAACAATCACCTCTGGAAAAGTCTTATCTCCATACATCGAACTTATTGATGCAAACACAACATTGCATATAATAATTTTTGCAAAATGTAAAGGGTTCATGCAGGAAGGAAAGGGTGTGTTTTAATATGCCGTGGTTCTGGAACCTAACCCAGCAGTGGTTCTGGAACCAAAACCCAGCAGTGGTCTGGAACCTAACCAGCAGTGGTTCTGGTAAACTAACCCAGCAGTGGTCCTGGAAAACCTAACCCAGCAGTGGTATGGGAACCTAACCCAGCATGGTCTGGAACCTAACCCAGCAGTGGTCTGGATACCAAACCCAGCTGTGGTCTGGGGAACCTAAACATTAGCAGTGGTTTTGAGCCTAACCCTGCAGTGCTATGGAACCTAACCCACTGCAGTGGTCTGGAACTCACCAGCAGTGGTCTGGAGCCTAAACTCTTCAGTGGTATGGAACTAAACAAGCAGTGGTCTGGAACCTAATGCAGAAGTGGTCTGGAACCTAATGCAGAAGTGGTCTGGAGCCTAACCCAGCAGTGGCCTGGAACCTAACCCAGAGTGGTCTGGAGCCTAACCAGCAGACTGGTCTGGAACTAACCCAGAAGTGCGTCTTGGTCGATGCCTAACCAGCAGTGGTTTGGTGCCTAACCTAGCAGTGGTCTGGAAACCTAACTCCGCAGTGGTCTGGAAACCTAACCCACAGTGGTCTGGGAACTAACCAGCTTGGTCTGGGAACTAACCCAGCCAGTGGTCTGGAGCCTAACCAGCAGTGATCTGAAACCTAACCCAGCAGTGGTCTGGAACCTACCCAAGCCAGTTGGTTCTGGAGCCTACCACCTGCAGTGGTATGGAAACCTATATACCAAGCAGTGGTCTGGCAACCTAATGCAGAAGTGTGTCTGAACCTAATGCAGAAGTGTCTGGAACCCCAGAAGTGAGTCTGTAACCTAACCCAGCAGTGGTTGGCCTTAACCAGCAGTGGCTTGGAACCTAAACCCAGCATGTGGTCTGGACCTAACCCATAAAGAGGTCTGGAAACATAACCCATCAGTGGTCTGGAACCTAGACCAGAAAGTGGTCTGAGAGACTAACCCAGCAGTGGTCTGGAACCTTACCCAGCAGTCGGACTGGAGCCTAACCAAGCTGTGTGGTCTAGAACACCTAACACAGTCTGTTGGTCTGGACCTAACCCAGCAGTGGTCTGGAACTAATGCAGAAGTGGTCTGGAAACCCTGAATGTTGATCGGGAACCTAACCAAAATAAGCAGTTGTCTGGAACCTAACCAGCAGGGACCTGGACCTAACCCAGCAGTGGTCTGGACACCTTACACATACAGAGTCTGAAACCTAACCAATCGGTGGTCTGGACCTAATGCAGAAAGTGGTCTGGAAAACCTAACCCAGAAGTGGTCTGGAGCCTAACCCAGCCTGTGGTCTGGAACCTAACCAGCAGTTCATCTGGGAGGCCTAGCCCAGCAGTCGGTCTAGAGCCTAACCCAGGCTGTGGGTCTGGAACCTAACCAGCAGTGGTTGGAAGCTAATGCAGAAGTGGTCTGGAACCCAGAAGTGGTCTGGAACATAACCCAGCAGTGGTCTGGAAACTAACCCAGCAGTGGTCTGGAAACCTAACCCAGCTGTGGCCTGGACCATTTAACCCAGCAGTGGTCTGGTAACCTAACCCAGCAGTGGCATGGAACCTAACCCAGCAGTGGTCTGGAAACCATAACCAGAAGAGGTCTGGACCTAACCAGCAGTGGCCTGAAAAACTAACCCAACAGTGGTCTGGACACCTACACCCAGCAGTGGTCTGGAACCTAAACCCAGCAGTGGGTCTGGAACCCCCTAACCACTGAAAGTGGCTCTGGAACCTAACCCAGCTGTGGTCTGAACTAACCCTTACCAGTTTGGTCTGACCTACCCAGCAGTGATTCTGGGCCTAACCCAGCAGTGGTCTGGAACTAAACCAGCAGTGCTCTGGAGCCTAACCAGTAGTAGTCTGGAACCTAATCCAGAAGTGGTCTGGAACCTAACCCAGCAGTGGTTTGGAACCTAACCCAGCAGTGGTCTGGAACCTAAAACAGCAGTGGTCTGGAACTTAACCCAGCAGTGGTCTGGAGCCTAACACAGCAGTGGTCTGGAACCTAATCCAGCAGTGGTCTGGAGCCTAACCCAGCAGTGGTCTGGAACCTAAACCAAGCAGTGGTTGGGAACTAAACCCCAAGCAGTTGGTCTGAGAACCTAATGCAGAAGTGGTCTGGAGTCTAACCCAGCAGTGGTATGGAACTTAACCCAGCAGTGGTCTGGAACCTAACCAAGCAGTGGTCTGGATCCTAACCCAGCAGTGGTCTGGAATCTAACTCAGCAGTGGTCTGGAACCTAAGCAGTGGTCTGGAACCTAATGCAGAAGTGTGTGTTGTCTGGAAATAAACCAGCCAATTGTCTAGACCCTAACCAGCAGTGGTCTCGGAATTTTTTAACCGAGCAAGTGGTCTGGAGCCACTAACCCGCAGTGGTCTCTGGAGCCTAACCCAAGCAGGTGGTCTGGAACTAACCCAGCCAGTGGTCTGACTTAACACCAATGCAGTGGTATAGAGCAATAAACCCAGCAGTGGTCTGGAACCTAACCCAGCAGTGTTCTGGAACCTAAGCAGTGGTCTGGAACCTAATGCAGAAGTGGTCTGGAACCTAACCCAGCAATTGTCTTAGAAACTTTAATCCCAGCAGTGGTCCTGGAATTACCCAGCTGTGGTCAGTGCTAACCCAGCAATGGATGTCCTGGGAACCTAACCAGCAGTGTTTCGTGGGAACCTATGCAGTGGTTGCTGGAACCTAATGCAGAAAGTGGTCTGGAACTAAACCCAGCAATTGTCTTAAGAACCTAACCCAAGCAGTGGTCTAGGAACCTAAAACAGCAGTTGGTCTGGAACTTAACCCAGCAGTGGTCTGGAGCCTAACACAGCAGTGGTCTGGAACCTATCGATCAGTGGTCTGGAGCTAAAAACCCAGCAGTGTTTGGAAAACCTAACAAGCAGTGTCTGGAAACCTAACCAGGCAGTGGTCTGAACCTAATGCAGAAGTGTGGTCTGGAGTCTAACCCTGCAGTGGTTGAAATTAAACCCAGCAGTGGTTCTGGAACTAACCAAGTAGTGGTTCTGGAATCCTAACCCTGCAGTGTGTTGGAAACCTAATGCAGAAGTGGTCTGGAAACTAAACCCAGCAATTGTCTAGAACTAACCCAGCAGTGGTCTGGAGCCTAGCCCAGCAGTGGTCTGGAACTAATGCAGTAGTGTTCTAGAACCAAACCAAGCAGTGGTTTGGAACTAACCCAGCAGTGGTCTGGAACCTAACTCAGCAGTGGTCTGAGAGCTCATGCAGCATGATCGGAATCTACCCTCAGCAGTGGTCTGGGAACCTACTCAGCAGGGTCTGGAACCTAATCAGCAGTGTGTCTGGAACCTAACTCAGCAGTGGTCTGGAACCTACCCAGCAGTGTCTGAAACTTAACCCAGCAGTGGTCTGGAACCTTAACCAGCACATTAGCGAGATATTAGCGAGATATTAGCGAGTATTGGTGAGGGATTCGGAGGTTATTATTGGAATTAGTGATGGTATTATGATATTGTGAGGTATTATTGAGATATTAGTAAGGTAATTGTGTGAGGGAGTATTGAGATATTAGTAAGGTTATTGGTTGAGGTATTAGAGAGATATTAGTTGAGGTATTATTGGGATATTAGTGAGATTTTGGTGAGGGTTTTGGTGCGAGATATTAGTGACGGTATTAGTGAGATATTTAGGAGGTATTGGTTGAGTATTATTGAGATTAGTAAGGTATTGTGTGAGGTATTAGGAGAGTATTGTGAGGTATTGGTGAGGTATTAGTGAGTATTAGTGAGGTTTACTGTGAGGTATTGTGATGTATGTCTGTACTTGTTGATAATGATAAAAGAACACTTAACTGGTATACAAAAAAAAAAAAAAAAAAAAAAAAAAAAAAAAAAAAAAAAAAAAAAATTTACTTATTTTTCTTTGTAAAGGCAATCACCCTTTCTATCATGTATTTCTCTTCTTCCTCAAGAATCTTCACTTCCTTCAAAAGTGTTTTCATTCTGGAGGCCGAGTTAGTCTGGAAGGAGTGAGCACGAGGCAGGTCACAACACAAGCTGGATAGCACATGAACATCCTCAATGTGAACAATAAATTCTGAATTACCATCATCACTGCTGCTGTTGCAACAAATGTTATCAAACTCCACAACCTTTTTCCATTCACTCTGAAAAGGAAGGAAAAATTGCTTTATTTATTTATTTATATGTGAACAGTATTTAGATATAAGTAGGGAAGCTTTCATTGCATTTATAGATTTAGAAAAGACATATGATAGAGTGGATAGGGTACAAAGGTGACAGATGTTGCAAGTATGTGGAATAGGTGGTAAGTTACTAAATGCTGTAAAGGTTTTTTATGAGTAGTGGGGTCGGGTTTAGGGTGTGTAGAAGAGAAGGAGATACTTCCCGGTAAAAGGGTCTTAGACAGGGATTTTGAATGTCACCTGGTTGTTTAATATATTTATAGATGGGGTTGTAAAAAAAGTAATGCGGGGGTTTTGGGGAGAGGGGTGGAAAAAATTATGGGGAATAAATAAAAAATGGGAGTTGACACAGTTATTTTTTGCTGAGTCTATGCTTAGGGGAAATTCTAAAGAAAAGCTGCAAAGGTTTTGTGGACGACCCGGGGAAAGGTGTAAAGGTAGAAGTTGAAAGTGAACATAGATAAGGAAGGTGCGGGGTGTCAAATGTTTAGATAGGAAAAATTGGATCCCACATTGGGAGAGGGATTCGGGAAAAAGTGAATGTTTTCGTTTTGGGGGTTTGGCTGTCGAGGATGAATTTTTGAAGGATGAGTTAACCACAAAACTGATGAGGGAAAAATGTGAGTGGTGCGTTGAGGTATCCGTGGAGACAAAAAACGTTGGCAATGGAGGCAAAGAAGGGAATGTATGAAAGTGTAGTGGTACCAACACTCTTATTTTCAATTCATTTCAATTCAATTCAAGTTTATTCTCTATAAGGGTTACAATGTGGGGTTTACAGGTTTTGGGTATTGTGTGGTTTACATGTTATAAAATACTAATTACAGAGGGGGCCACTAGGACACCTAGCATGGCTAGGCATTTTTGGGCAGACTTAGATTAATTTTTTAAATTAAACCTTACAGTTATGGTTTTAAAGGCTAAGTGACTAATCTAATTTGGGGTTTTGCAATGTGAATGCTTTTGTTCTGGCACAATAAAAAGTGTCTAATTGGAGTATCGTAGGCAAACTTAGACTAGTTGGGCCCTTTATTTTTTAAGATTAAGATTAGTTTTTGGGTGAGTGAGTGAAATTTGTGAACCACCAGGTGGTTTCATTTTGTTAGTTTCGAAGTGTATCGGGGAATTGATTTTTTCTAACTGTATTTTTGAAAGTGAGAATGTGCCCCGCATTTAGATTTTCAGGAGGGTTTCGTTTTTAGGTCCTTTGAAATACATTAAATTTTTGTAAAGGTTTAGTTGAACAAGGGCAATGTCATAGAGATGTTTGTTTTGGTTTTTATGCCAGTGGACCCTTACAACTATTAAGAAAAGCATTTTGGGCAAGGTTAATATTGGAATTTAAGGCCCTGTAATAGAGATTGCAAGTAGTAAGTGTGGATGTTCTGAAAAGGGGAGTAATTTTTAGATCAGAAGATGGGGGAGTGTGTTGCCAGGGAGGGGTTTTGTGATTTTTCTTATCCAGCTTTTTGTTGGGTTATTATTGGCTTTAGGTGTGTTGCTGAGTTAAACCCCCCGCACAGATCTGGGTGGGTAGGATTTAAAGTAATTTTTGTGTGAAAGGGGCGGTTTGGGGCATTAGTACGACTTGGAGGGAAACCCCAGTTTTGGATACTTTTTTTGTTATGTGTTGGATAGGGGCTAAAAATTTAGGCTGTTGTGAGGATGGCAAGGTTTTGCCCTCATTTTTTCTGGCAATTAGAGTGTTGTAAATTTTAATTTTAAATGTGCAAACCTGCTCTGCCCAAACATAATATAGTGGTTTTGCCCTTTAAAGGTGAAGTTTATTGGTGCACCCAAGTCGATTTTTGAGAGCTCCTCTTTAACAATGGTGTTGAGGGTAGAAAGATTAGGGGGGGAGATGACATAAGTGTGTCAAAGCAAAGGAAGGGTTTCAGGTGTTGGGATATTTTGGAAGTCATTGTTGTAAAGAGGAAGAGCAGGGTGTGAAGTTGGGTTGAAATGCTGCGCAAAGAGGCTGCGGAGGATTGGATTTTTTCTAGGGCAATGTGTGGTGTAAATTTTTGCAGGAATTCGAGTGGGGAAATTAAAAGGGTGTGGTGTTAAAAAAAGTTTTAGTCAGGGGCTAAAGGGGTTTGTTGGATTTTTTTGGTATTTAGAGAGAATGGATCAAGTAGAAGCAGGAAGTGTATAAATCTGTAGAGGCAGAAGGAGGGTGGGGGGTATCCTTTAAAAAGGGGTTGGGGAGGGGTAAAGGAGGCTTTGGGGGCGAGGGGCTTGGACTTCCCAGCAGACATGAGCATGTTAGATGGAGTCAATGGAGACGAATTTTTTTGGATTGACGAGCTTTTGGAGTGTGATCAGGGAAATATTTATGAAGGAAAGGGAAATCATTATTTTATAAAGCCAATTTGAGTTTTGGGAAAGGGGAAGTAAATCCAGATTAAAGGAGGGGTTTGGGATATTGGCATTTTGGGAGGATATTTTGTGTATTCTATTGTATATGCTTCAAAACTGTTGTATTCTGGGCACCTTAAAAAAAACCAATGTTTATGTGTGAGTGAGGTAAAAGTATTTTTTTCGGGGGTTCTTTTCTTTTTGGGTCCCCCTGCCTTGGTGGGAGACAGCTGACTTGTTGAAGAAAAACATTACATCCACCCAAACTTCGACGAGTTGGGTTCCGAGAAAGGGTCGAAAGCAAGGGGGTCAAAAGTCGAACCTTACTACTGAAAATAAACATCACATATTTGTAATGACTTTTTTTTATTGTTTTATTTTGGTATCTCTTTTTTACTTTATTTTTTATACTGTTAGTATTTGTTTTTTATACTGTAAGATTTGGGATAACACTGTGTACAACCCCCTTATTGCTGTGGGGGTTGGCACTAAAAGCTTTCTTGGGGCCCTGGTATTATTTTGCAGATAAAATCACCAAAAAAACTAAAATAAACAAAATTTTCCAAATTGTATGCTTGGATGTTACCGCAGGCTGGCTGGTAAACAATCCCACCGGGACATGTGGGCTGGCAAGGTAAAATTGGACGCGTCTGGATGAAGGCGGTGAGGGGTTTTTTTGAGCGGTATGCGAGGCAAAATTTTTGCGATAAAAGCGGGGGTATGCGGATTGAAGTTTGTGTGCGTACGGTAGGGGGGGGGTCCACTGTACGCACTCTGAAGAAGTACAGTCCCTCCCTCCAAAAGGAGGTACAGTCTGCACCCAAAGGGAAGTAAGTACCTCACTCTGAAGGAAGTACACTGCCTGCACTCGAAGGAAGACACTGCCTCACACTGAAGGAAGTACACCCCTGCACTTAAAGGGAAATACACTGCCTGCACTCTAAAGGGAAGTACATCCCGACATGAAGGAAGAACACTGCCTGCAAAAAGGAGTACATGCCTGCACTCTGAAGGAAGTACACTGCCTGTGTCTGGGGAAGACACTGCCTGTGCTCTAAAGCAAGAACACTGCCTGCCACTGAAGGAAAAACATCCCTGCACACGAAGGAAGACACTCCCTGTGCTCTGAAGGAAGTACACTGCCTCCCTTTGAAGGAAGTACACGCCTGCACATGAAGGAAGTACATGCCGCATCTAAAGGGAAAACATGCCTGTGCTCTAAAGGGAAGTACATGCTGACTCTAAAGGAGTCACTCCCTGCACTCGAAAAAAGTACACTGCCTGCACACTGAAGGAAGAACACTGCCGCACTCTGAAGGAAGTACACTCCTGCACTTGAAGGAAGTACATCCCCGCAACGAAGAAGAACCTGCTGCCTCTAAAGGGAAGTACACGCCTGCACTCTAAAGGAAGTACCTGCCTGCACACTGAAGGAAAAACACTGCCTGCACTCTAAAGGAAGTATACTGCCTGATCGAAGGAAGACACTGCCTGCACTCTAAGGAAGTACACTCCTGTGCTCGAAGGAAGTACACTGCCTGAAATCGAAGGAAGTACCCTGCCTGCACATGAAGGAAAAACACTGCCGCATCTAAAAGGAAGAACTCCTGCACTTGAAGGAAGTACCTGCCTGCACACTAAAGGAAGAACACTGCCTTGCACACGAAGGAATATACTGCCTGCACTCTGAAAAGACCTGACGGCCACTGAAGGAAAACACCCCTCACATGAAGGAAGTACCTCCCCGGTGTCTAAAGGGAAGTACACTGCCTGCCCTCTAAAGGAAGTAAAAGCCTGCACTCTGAAGGAAGTACACGCCTCCCTTTGAAGGAAGTACACTGCCTGCACCAAAGGAAGTACACTCCCTGGCTCTGAAGGAAGTAAATGCCTGCACTCTAAAGGGGAAAAACCTGCCTGCCTCTGAAGGAAAGTACATCCCTGTGCCAAAGGGAAGTAAAATGCCTGCCCTGAAGGAAGAACACTCCCCGATCTGAAGGAAGTACACTGCCGTGCTTAAAGGAAGTCACTGCCTGCACCTGAAGGAAAGAACACTCCCTGCACTCTGAAGGAAGTACCTGCCGCACTTAAAGGAAGACCTGCCTGACTCTAAAGGAGGGTGGAACAGAGGTGGTAAAGGGGAAAGGGACTTTGGACTGTGATCCCTTTGCATTTGGGGAATAATAGCTTTGGAATGAATGAAAAGAATAAGTTTTCTTTTTTTCAATCATTTTGGTATATCTGGAGTTACCTGAAGAGGGTTTGGGGGTAAATTCCCCCGGGGCCCCCGGTCTGTGACCGGCCTCTGGCGGATCGGGCCTGATCAAAAGGGGGTTACTGGGGGGCTGCATGCAACCCAAAGTACAACCACAGCCCCATTGGTCGGTACTGACTTTAGGTGTTTGTTCAGGCCGTTTGAAGACAGCCGGGGGTCAATTGGAACCCCTTTTATGATCAGGAGGCAGTTGACATCTTGGGCCCCTGACACTTATTGTCTGTCTCTTATCAGGTAGGGCACCCTGTTTTTTCACGGGGAGAATGTTGCATCATTTGCTGGTCTTTTGCTTTCAAGGGAGTGATATTGTGTGCAAGTTTGGTCTAATCCTCAGGAATTTCCAAGAGTATTTTAATCATGTATCCTCCCACCTGTAATAAGTAAGTTTATTCAGGTATAACAAATCAGTTACATAGAATTATCATACATAGCAGCTATGTGTAGAAAACCCTAGGATAACCCAAAAAAAGTCAGACAGACTTTTCTAAGAGTACAGGTTGAGGAACTTAAAGCTTTCCCATAACTGAGGTTTTTTAAAATTTGGTTGTTGTGCCATGAAGGTTCTCTCTACATTTTCTAGGTCAGCAATTTCCACCTGCCTTAAAAGGTGCTGTTAGTGTGCAGAAAATTTTTCCACCCTAGACAAAACAATGACCTGAAGAGTCACAGGGGGCTTGGCATCCTTTTTTGAAGGTTCTATTATCCATCCTGTTAGTTTTCTAGAAGAGTGATTGATACAATTTTGTGTTTTTTGAAGATGAGTTCCTCTGACATTATCATCCCAGGCCCTTTTACATTAGCATTTTGTTCATTGTGTGTGGAATTTTTTTTAAACCTGGTGTGTTTTATTTCCTCATGTTTTCCATATCGAAGCAATTGAAATTATTCACATTGAACTTAAACTGTTTTCTGCAGCCCTTTGAAGTTTTGGGTTTGATGTCTCCCTAGGTTTTGAAATGTCTTTAATGAAGGACATGTCATGCAAATTGGGTGTCAAATGAAAAGACATGGTGCTGTGGTTACTCCCCTGTCTGTATCAGTATGAGGATGAGTAACAGGAGGGTCGATACTGTGCCTTGTGGAACAAGCTTTTCCCCTAGCCCCTGACTTTATTTGTTGATACTCTCTGTTTATTTGTTAGGATATTATAGATCCATCTACCAATTTTTTCCTTTTTTTCCCTTTTATCATGCATTTTGTGCAATTACACAGGTCACATCGTCAAAGGCTTTTCAAAGTCTGTTGTATACAAGCACCATCTGACTTATGACCGAGTTTGGTTCCGATAAACCAGTTTTAAAAGTCAAAATGGACCAAGTCAAACCTTATGCTTTTATATTGTTTTTTTATACTTTTAAGGTTTGGGATAAACATTGTGTAAAACCAAACGTTGTTTATTTGCATACAAAACAGTTGATGCATGAAAACAAAAAAAAACATTTGTATGCTAAAACAAAAGTACAAAATAATTTAAAATAAGCGGGTAAACATACGTGTAAAAAAGAGTGGTCGATGTCAAGCAGTTTTGTAAGCGGACGTTTGTACTACTCTCCCTTTTGTTTGTCTTCTGGGAATCAAGACCTTGTCTAGGGTCCGTTTTTGAGACAGGCAGGAGCAATCGCTCTAAAACCAAGTTCCCTGGGGTGAATAGGGGCCAAGGGTTCAAAAAAAATAATGCAATATAGGACCAACAAGAATAAGGCACAAAGCACAGAAAAAAAAATTAAAAATATTTTTTACTGAAAAATATTGTCACGACACTCCAGGGGGAAGTGGAACAGAATTCTTCCCCCGTAAGCCATGCATGTGTAAGAGGCGACTAAAACCCCGGGGAGAAAGGGGGAAAACCCCCTTCCTGAAAATATTACAAACTTTAAAAGGAAAAAACTTTGTTTTTTTTTTTTGGGGCCCACCCCATCGGGGATATGGCTGGTACTTAAAAGAAGAAAGTGCCCTAACCTCTCGTCCTTAAAGCGGAGTTTGTTCCAAAGACCTGTCAGTAAAAGAAATTTTTCTCTAAACAAGGGATATTATAATTTTGTGGGTTTTTTTTCAACCATCTTTGATATTGTTTTAAAAACATTAAAAAAAATCATAACATTTTTTGTAACAGTGGTACCTTGAGTTACGAGCCTCCAACTGAAAAATTATGTAAGGTATTTTTGTCTGCTTTTGTAAGTTATTTTTAGGGGGCTGAAACAGTTGATCTAATTTTTATTATTACTTCGGAAACAAATTCGTTCGGGATTGGCACTCCAACAGCCTTCGGAAAAGAAAATTAAACTTGTAAACCCAAGGTATCACGATCTATAAATGCTTAACGTAGTGTACTTATGTTGTAATAAACGAAGGAGGAAATCAGTCTAAAATTTTATTATATAGGTTTGATAGGTCAAAAGCCCACTTGAGCCAATTTATCAGTAAAAGAGTACATACTAAATGAGGAGAGGGTGTAGTATTCCTATATGGGTTTTTTAAAAGTTTTTTATTCCTGTAATTTTTATTGGTCTGGATTTGGGCAGGGGCAAAGAAACAGGAACCCAAAAACAGAATTTTTATCTTAATGTTTATTTGCAGACCCCCATGAGAAAAAGTAAATAAAAAAAGGCTGATTATTAAAATCAAAAAACATTGGGTTTTAAGTTTTTAAGCTTACGATGATGTTTTGGTCCCACTTGGGCCATTTACAAAGACACAATGAAAAGGAGAGAGGGAGGGTAAAAATGGCAGGAGGGGGGTTGTTTGTTAGTATTTGTATTAGTAGTTTTGTATATTGAGTATTTGTATTAGTAGTATTTTAGTAATATTTAGTTTGTATTAGCATTAGTTAGATTTGTAGTGTATTGTTAGTATTAGTATAGTTTTTGTATAGTAGTAGTAGTATTTTAGTGTATAGATTATAGTATGTAGTAGTAGTTTAGTATTAGTATAGTATTAGTAGTATAGTATTATAGTATTAGAGGTAGTAGTAGTAGTGTAGTAGTAGTAGTTAGTAGTAGTATATAGTAGTAGTAGTTTTAGTGTGTATTTGCAGTAGTATGTTTATTAGCAGTAGTATTATTATTATTATTTGTAGTATAGTAGATTAGTAGTAATTAGTATAGTATTAGTGTAGAGTGTTTAGATAGTAGTTTATAGTAGTGTAGTTTAGTATGTATTAGATTTAAGTATAGTAGGTAGTTTAGTATAGTATTAGTAGTATAGTAGTATTATAGTAAGTGTATTAGAGTAGTAGTTGATTGAGTAGTTTGTATATTTGTAGAGTAGTATTGTAGTATTTTAGTTTAGTAGTTAGATAGAGTAGTATTTGAGTAAAGCTCCTCTCTTCTATGTGCGAGTTATTTGCGTATCGTTTCCCGTCAGGTATTGTGCCTTATTGGGTTTTTTTATAAATGGTTTTGTGTTATTGTTACCTGAGCACAGCTTGGATCTCTAAGAACAGTGCAGCAGCAGGGGGCCACAACAACTGGATTCTTTAGTAAACTAACGTTACCTGGAAGTTTATTTTTAAAATGTTTTAATTAATTTTTGCAAATCCTCAACTTCGTTTTTTAAAATACGTGGTACCTCGGCACAAGTACAGCCCCAACTCGAACAATTATGTAAGTGTATTATTGTAAATGCTTTTGTAAGTGTATTTTTGGGGGTCTGAAAAGGATCAATATAATTTACATTTTCTTTATGGGAACAAATTCGTTAGGTATCAGCCCCGAAGAGCCTTGGAATGAATTAAGTTTTTTAACCCGGGGACCCCCGTAAACTAATTTTTTAATTATGTATACAAAAATTTTCACATTATAATTTTTTAAGATAAAATAAAATGAATCATACCCTCCCTTTGTAGAGGTAAAATTATTTGGGAGCTTTAAATTTTTGCCTCCCTACTGATCCCCTCAACCTGCTGTTCATTTTAATGAAGATGATGATCACATAAAAAATACATTAAAAAATGAAAAGAGGCAAATAATGAAGCATTTATTTTACAAGTAAAAGTAAAAAAAGCTTTATATAACAAAGCAATCAGAAGGTATGAAAGATTAAAAAAGTGATACAAAATAGGATCATTACAGTTATTCGCTGATGACAGTCACTGAAACATTCGAGATGATGTTACACATTGCTTGATCAATTTGGGGGGAAAAAATCAAATAGGAAAATTAAAAAATGAACACAAAAAAAAATAGGCAAGATTATGGAGGCACAAAAAAACCCAGGTAATGAAGGACTAGATACCGACGGAACAAAGAATTTATGGAAAAATGGAAATTTTAAGTTATTTTGGAGAGGACATGTTAGAGATGGGCTACTAGAGTGAAGTAAATACAGAATACGTGAGGGGGGCGGGGCAGTTGTGAAGCTTCTGTGGAAAAAAATTTATCTGTGAATGCATAAAAGGTTAAAAAAGTACTAGAGTATAGTGGCCAACCTTCTGTTTTGGGTTGAGGCAGGGAACTTTAAAATTTCAAGAAAAGAAGCCTCCAACCAGTAGAGAGTCGGTTTGAGAGGAATGTCAGTGTGAATTTTAAGTAGAAAAGTTGGTGTGTATTTAGAGTGTGGGTTGGGAATATTAAGCAGGAATAAGGACCACAGAACTTGGAAGACAGAATGGGGTTACCAAAAAAAAAAATTCAGAGGGCTGAGGGGAAAAGGTTTGTTTAAGTGGTTGGGGAATTAGATAAGGTACACATTTGGTTTTAAAAAGGGTTAAAAACTGGCTGGAAAAAAAGGGGAGGGAAAGACATCTGGAAGGGTTTGGGGAGAAGAGTCAAGGCCTTTAAAAGCTTTGGGGGTTAAGTTTCAGATTAAAGCAACATTTTTAATTAAGTGAATGAAGCAAGTTTATTTTTTTGTGGTTGTTAAAATTTAAAATTTTCAAAAGATTCAAAAGAAACCAGTTAGCCAGACTTTATTCCTGGGGGAGGGAAGTACAATGCCTCACTTGAACAAGGGTGTTGCAACAGAGGATAAGCAAGTTATATCAGCCACTTTTGACAAGACAAAGATTGACGAATGATGGTGAAAGTGTGTATCCTTTTTTTAGGGTAGCCGGCCTGGTGGGGGTAATCTGGGGATGTTCTGGGGGTCAAGCCCCTGTGGCTCTGTCCGACCCCCTCGTGGTGGTGGGGCCGATTAACCAGGGCAATTTCTGCTGGCCACACACAATCCAATGTAGACCCACCCCCCTGTCAGATATTGATTTTGGGCCGTCCCGCTCCTCTTGAAGACGCCAGGGATCTTTGGGAATCCCCCTTATGTATGCTGGGAGGAGTTGAACAGTATTGGGCACTTGAAAAACCCAGTGTTTGTCTCTTGGTGCATTCACGACACCCCGATTTTCATTGGGAGGATGTTACAGCATCTCCATTCTTTTCTTAATAGGGAGTGATTTTATTTTAAATTTTGGACTAGTCCCTCTAAGATTTACAGATGAAATTATGCTTTTTCTCACCTGCATTCCAAGGATAAAGGGCCAGGGGGCTTCAAAAGTCCCAGTAAAGGAAGTGCTTTATTGTACTTTGTCAGTGAAAGTTTTTGGTGTATTCCCCCGATCTGCAGTTTTGCCTGCCTTGAAGGGGGAATTAGTTTAAGCGTATTCCCGCCTAGAGAGGAACAAGTGACTTATAAAAAATTTTCACTGGTTGGTTACCTTATTCTAAAAGGAAATCATTAACATCCTCCAATGTTTTTAATCTTTAAAATGGGATTTTCTGATATTATATTCCCCAAATCTTTCACATTAGTTTCCTGATCTACTGTTTGGTTGGAAATTTTTTTTTATTTTCCCCTCTACTTTTTTTTCCTAACTTTTCCAAGTGAATAACCAAAAATTTTTTTATTGAACATATATTTTTTTTCTGTGACCACTGTAAGACTTGGTTTTTCTGCTTGGGGTTTTTCAGTGTCCTCAGTAGATGATAATGTCATGCAATTCTAGTATGCTAGCAAAAGGGAAGACAAAGTGGTGGTTTAATCCGTTTATGTTTAATATGAGGATGAGGAACGGATGGGGGTTTTCCCCTGGCTGCTTCTGCTTTACTATTTTTAACATATTCCCTTGTGTTTTATTGGTTAGAAATTAAAGACCATTTGCCCAAATTTTTTTTTTTATTTTTTATCTGCATTTTTGTGCTATTTTACCTGATTGCACTGTCAAAGGCTTTCACAAAACCCGTGTAGTCCATCTGTATTTTTTTGTCCTCCGTACATCAAAGACCATTTATAGCAGTCCCCGACGGGAGGGGTGACCTGCTCTAAACCCTGATGCCCCGGGTTCACAACTGCTGGGTATCCAGTTGGTTTGGGGATTTTGTTTCATAGAAAATCTTTAAAAATTTTTTGACTTGGGACATTGTGCAAGGTCTATAATTTTTCTATTGCTTTGCTGCCCCCTTTGGTGGGGTGGGGTATATCCATTTTTTTTAGTCTGTGGGATACCCCCCCCCTGTCTAGGTTTGCTCTCTAGTACTTAAATATGAAAAAAGCGGTCTCTTTCGTTTGATTAACACAAAGTTACACAAGAATGGGCCCGGGGGAGGTGCAGGGTAGGTACAACTGCTTTTTAACATCCAGGGGTGTTACGGTTAAGCCAAAAATTCAGATAAACGTAATCCGAGTTTCGGTCATAAAAAAATTTATTCAGCTGTCAACCTTTTGTCTTTTTAACCCTTCAGGGGCCAAAGCCCAAAAACTGAAAGGGGGTCAAGTGTCCAAGGAAATTTTAAAAAAAAAAAAAATTTTTTTTTCTTACGAATTAAAGAGTATATTTTTTTGAAGGTTTAAAAAGATAAAAAAAAAATTTCTGATAGTACTTTCCGAGATCAGCAGGGGAATTTGACCCAAAAAGACCGGGGGGGGGGCAAAATCAGTGACTTCCACAAAATCCCATTTTTTTTTTACGTTTTTTATACTTTTTTCTTTTCTTTTCAAAAATTTTTCTTTTTCTAAAACATTTGTGGCCTTGAGGGCCAGTATAATGTATATTGTTTTAGTGTACATCATTTTATTTATGCAATAACTGCATATTTATCATTTAAGCTTTCAAAATTGTTTACAAATTTATTGTAAAAAAAAAGAAAATATTAGTGTGGTTATTGTGTTTAAAACAACGTACCATATGGCAATGGTGATAGGGTGCAATTTTTCCATATGATACAATGGCCCTATGATACAATGGTACCATATGGTACTGGTACAAGGCACATGAACAAAAGGTACCATATGGACAAGGCACCATTTGGTACAATGGTCCATAGATAAATGGTACCCAAGGGGCAATGGTACCTTATGGGACCATATGGTGCAATGGTACCCTTTTGGTACCATGGGTAAATGGGTAACATATGAGAATAGTACAATATGGGAAAAATTTTTACCATACAGTACAAAAGATACCCTATGGTTCACTGACCATTGGTCTATTGGTATGTTGTATTTAACACAATAAACACACTAAATTTTCATTTTTATTTTGGTTACATAATTGTTTTCAACAAAAATATGCAAAAAAATTTTATATTATAATGTTCTATTATATATTTACAAGTTACGGAACTTGATGTGTTTTCCTTTTGGGGGGAAAGACATAGCCTTTTTCTCGGAAACTCGAGTCAGTGCGCTTGTGTCGCCTCCACCAGTCTTGGGTGGGCCTCATCCACCAACACCTAATGACCAAGGTACATGGTACACATGTTCAGGGACCCTATGGTAATTGTACTTATGGTATAGGGGACCCTGCGTGCAGGGTACCCTATGGTACGGGTACCTTGGCACAGGGACCTAGGTACAGGGTACCATATGGGACAGGGTACCCTATGGTCAGGTACCATACAGTACAGGAGACCCTATGGTACGTAAGGGGAACTATGGAAATAAGTCACCCAGACTTTTTGGGTTATCCCAGGATTTTTTCATATGCTGCTTGTATGATAAACTATGTAATTTTATTTCTGTACACCCGAATAAATTTATCAAGTGCATGTGGCATCATAAATAAAATTTTTTAGTTTACACAAAAAAAAGACATAGAATACATACTTACAGCATATGTTTGGAGGACCCCAGGATAACCCAAAAAAAAATCAACAGTTTATTTCCATTAGGGGCCCGTACCCCTGCACCCTATGGTATAAGTACCATTGGTACAATGTACTTATGGACATTTCACCATATGGACCCCCTACCATACGTAATTGTCCCTACACCATTGTATGACATGGCACCATTCTACCTATGGTTCAAAACCATAGAATTGTCTTTTCTCCCCTTCCCTCGTCTTAGAACTGTAAGTTTTTGGGAAAAGGAGAGTCAAATTTCCCCGGGGAGTGAGTGGGGGGTGAGGCTTTCCCTTTCCCCCAGGCACAAAGAACAAACACTTTGCCCGGGGTTTCCCCAATGCCATGCGGGCGTCCCGATTTTTTCTATGGTGTGGGCCGACCCCCCAGACCCATTCTTCAGATTAGGCCCACCAGCCCTTTTTGCGCTAAATTTTACGCC